CCTGTAGCCGAGTCCTTGCGCTGGCAGTAGGTGAGGCTCGCCGGGAGCAGAGGCAGCACGTTTCCTTTCCCCGCTGCGCTCGGGGGCCGCTCTGACGCTCTCCGGAGCAGGAGGATGGAGTCTGCGAAGCACTGGGTGGGGCCTCTGGCTCTTTTTGGATGCGCTGTAATAAAGCCCTGCTGTAAGGAGCTCGTTTCTCATCGCCACCTCCCTAATCCCGGGGCTACGATTCCTTGTGTTTCACATCAGGTGCCCGGTGCGGAGGATCAGACAGCCCTGTCCCTGGAGGAGTGCCTTAGGCTGCTGGAGGCCACCTTCCCTTTCGGGGAGAATTCGGAGGTGAGAGGATGGGGTGACAGCCTCGGCCCCTCGGCGGATCCGGAGGCGGCGGCAGCTCTCCTTTGCTCACTCGCCGGGGTTTCGGTGCTTCTTGTGCCCCTAACCCAGACCGCAGAACCAGCGGTAAATTGGGTTAGCCTGCTTAAGGAGGCTCCAGGCACGGTGCCTGCGAAACTAGCGGTGGGGGGGTGGTCACAATTAATTAAAGACTTCTGGCTTTGCTTCTAATTAGTTCATAGTGAACTGTGGAGGAATAACTGCAACCAGTTTGCTTTGAACAAAGGAGAAGCGATTGCCCACGCGGAGGTGGAAGGGCATTCGGGATTGCTGGCTCCCTGGCCGCGGCTGATCAGCCGGGACTGACTCTGCCTCACGTGGTTAGTTTCCAGCTGCGGATGTCTCCACCCTGAGCGAAGCCGTGCCCGGCGAGAGCAGGTCCGCGGGCATCCAGACCAGCCTGCTGTCTCCTCTCCTCACAGAGACCGAGTCGCCCTTCGATCTGGAGCAGCAGTGGCAGGACCTCATGTCTATCATGGAAATGCAGGTGAGCTCGAGGGGGGGAGTGGGGGGGCGTTGTGGGGAAGCGTTTGCCCCTCCAGCGGCCTGTTGCTCTTCCCGTTGAATTCAAGTTCGATGGCTGTCCCAAGCACCCGATTCCTGGAGAATCGTTGACTTGGGGTTGGTCGCAGCTGCTTTGGTTTTCTCCCAGCCTGCGCGGTGACCCTGTGGCCGCCCGTGTGGCGGCCCCCCCGC